AAGGACTTGGGGGTGTTGACTGATGAGAAACTCAACATGAACCAGCAGTGTGCACTCGCAGCCCAGAAAGCCAACTGTGTCCTGGGCTGCATCCCAAGCAGCGTGACCAGCAGGTCGAGGGAGGGGATTCTGCCCCTCTGCTCTGCTCTGGTGAGACCCTCCCTGCAGTACTGCCTTCAGCTCTGGGGACCCCAACACAAGAAGGACACGGACCTGTCAGAGTGAGTCCAGAGGAGGCCATGAAGATGATCTGAGGGCTGGAGCACCTCTCCTGTGGAGACAGGCTGATAGAGTTGAGGTTGTTCAGCCTGGAGAAGAGAAGGCTCTGGGGAGACATTATAGTGGCCTTTCAATACTTAAAGGGGCCTACAAGAAAACTGGGGTGGGACTTTTCACAAAGGCATGTAGTGATAGGACAAGGGGCAATGGCTTTAAACTGGAAGAGGGAAGATTTAGATGAGATATCAGGAAGAAATTCTTCATTGTGAGGGTGATGAGGCAGTGGAACAGGTTGCCGAGAGAAGCTGTGGATGCCCCATCCCTGGAAGTGTTCAAGGCCAGGTTGGATGGGGCTTTGAGCAACCTGGTCTGGTGGAAGGTGTCCCTGCCCATGGCAAGGTGGTTGGAACTAGGTGGTCTTTAAGGTCCCTTCCAACCCAAACCATTCTGTGATTCTATATTCAACACCAATGCTTAGATCACTTCTCTCACAAGGACCAGAACTGCTAAGATCTATGTTCTCTGATGTGAAAATTCAGAATTAGATCTTTGGAGTATGAAGAAATTTCATCATATTGCTTGTTATCAGTAGGTGAAGTTACAGATAGCAAAGAAGTCTGTTGGAAAATTAATGTTTCTGACTATTCAGACTTAGATGATGGGAGCAGTAGTGTGCCTTGAGGTCATGACCATTAATCTCCCAGGTCAGGAACTTATTAGAGCATGCTGCAGCTCCTGACCGGTCTGCATTCCTATTTTTTTCCTGTAGAACTAAGGGTACAGGTTTTCTTCCTGCAGGAACCAATTTTCATCTGCATGATAAGCCAGGTCACAAACCAAGTTTCCCATGCAGATATGGAAAACTGGATGTGCTCCTGGTTCTAATATTGCAGGCATAGTCATGTCAGACATGTAAACATTGTTAATATAGAGCCTAAGACAGAGTCATAATCGTTTGAATCTCCCCTAATAACTAGATACCACCACACAACATTAACCCTACCCCAAAAACACAGCACACTGGGGAGGGAGAAGTGACACGAAGTAGAGAGTAAGGAAGCATAAACTTTCTCCAATCTTTCGCCGTTGCTGAAGCAGAAAGGCCATGTAAGTAGCAAAGTTACAGTTCTGGGTCAAGGAATGCATTAAAAAGGGTTGCAGTACATACATCCAGGTGTCACAGTTTAGTATTGGCCATGAAGAGTAGATGAAAGTGGGGGGAAAAGTTTTTTGGCACAATGCCACAGTGTCTCAGTTCAGTATTGACACCTAGTGTAAAAATATTTGACACCATATTATTTAGAATTGCAACACCACCATGGTTTTGATAATTTGCATACAGTAAGTCTTAACTTGATTTTCCTGGTAGTTTTTGCCTCAGATGCCTTGATCTCACCATGCCCATTTCCAAATAATAAATAATCATCTTTGTATATTCTTTTTTTTTTTTTTCCCCTGCTTATGTTTTTCTAGAACCCCTAATATTGACAGGCTAGCAGACGAGGGAGTGACGCTTACTCAGCATATAGCAGCATCCCCACTTTGTACTCCAAGCAGGGCTGCTTTCCTGACAGGGCGATATCCTATCCGATCAGGTAAAATCCCATTACTTTATATATAAATATTGTATTTTATTTGCAGTAAACTATATGCATTTTTTTCTCTGTCCTTTCTTGATATCTTTATCATTACCAGGTTAGGTACTCATTTCAGTGACTAATAAAGCTCAGCAGAGTTGGTCAACAATTGAAATCTTCCGTATACATGGGAAATTTTCGCATTTTAGAAGAGTTAACACAAAAATAAAGCTTTTTTATTGAGAAAATAATTTTTTTTTTTTCCAAATACTGAGGAAAAAATCTGATTGTGGTTATTTAATGTAAGGAGCAGACAAATTCCATTGACTTCCTTCACTGTCCAAATGACCCTGGGCTCTTTGCCTGCCTCCCCAGTTTCATTCGGACTGCTCCCAGGATGTTGATGGGCTGCCTGAGTGTTGAACGTCACAGAGATGCATCTGGAAAGACACAGTGGAAGAACCTAGTGTAAATCCTCCTGCTCAGACATCTCTGTTTCTACAAAACCTTTTAGTTTAGACAAATGTTATTTTTGGGGGTAAGGGAGAGGGGGGCAGGAAGGACAGTTCATTAACGTAGTCCAGCAACCCTTAAAACTGGGAAGAAGCAAGCAAAAAATTTCCCTCCTTTCTATATTTTTGTTCCATATCTACCCATACACTGTGTTAAGTATCATATGAATACATCCATTTAATAACTTCTGTTACTTTTAACGTACCTGATCCAAAGCTCATTTGAGTCAATGAAGATCCAGTCTGTTTATTTTAGTGTGCTGGGACTGAGCCCCTCAGTGCTTAGCCATGCAACTTTAACATTCCCTTAACATCATTTTTAGCAAGGATCATTATACATTAATCAGATCACTTGTTCATTAGTGATAAAACATCCTGTCCTTGCTTCTGGGAATGAAAGCAAAGCAAGACTCTGGAGCCTACTTGATGTGTTCTTGCTCATTCAAATCAAGTAACAAGCTTCTGCAAAAGTGCTAGCTAATATAACTTGCTAAATTTTCCATTACATTCAGCTGCAAAGGAAAATTTTATATACCTGTTACAGCTTTATTGCTATTAATATTTACTGTAGGTAAAACCACAGGTCACTTTCCATTACGATCCTTGTTCTTATTTCTGAAAAATTAGCATTTGAACTGATTTTTTTCTTAACTGGTCTGCTCTCAGTCGTACCTAATCATTTCCATGTAGGTGCAAAAATTGAACTTCGTCTTAATTAAATCATAAAATTGCTAAATATGGAGTACTTCCAAACATCAGTGAAGAACTAGTAAAGGATTTTTATAGAAGATATTAGAATCATAGTGTGAAAAAAAATGTTAGAAATTTAAAACTCCTGCTAATAGAGCTGGAGAAAAATATTCCAAAATGCAGTATTTGATAAGACACAAACTCAGAGAAAGGTAACAATGAAAAAAAAAATCATGATACTGTACTTTCATTCTGGTAACTTAAGGGAATTACACTGATTTAAGTTAGAAGAGATTGAAGTACATAAATATCAATAAATATGTAATAAATAAAGTATAGATATGTATAGATGACCAAAACTACCTGAACTGTTGGTCAATAAAGCTAGCTGGTGTGAAAAACTGAAGTCAACATTTGAAGGGTACGTTGAGCTCTCCTTAATAAACCAGCCTAACGAGTCTTTTTCTCATCTAACCACAAGGGATACCTGAGGGAAGATTCTGATTGTCTACATCAGTCATGTAACTTTGGCACTGCAATCATGCAGTTGCATAATTCAGACTTCCTGGAGATACATCTGCACTGATTTGCATAGATATTCTGTGTTCTGTCTATATTTGGAGCCAGCTCTCATCTGGAATCCTAGTAATCTAATTTTCATGAACCTGAGCTCTCAACTTCCTTATCCTGAAAGTAGTTTATAAGCTCAAGTTTGTGTTCCTGAGACTCTCAGTAAGTAGAAATTACTGTGCCTTATTTAGATGTTGTCTTGTTAGCTGATACCTGATGCTGATTTAATACATTCGGTGTGCGTTGAGGCATGTTATCTTCATGCCATTGGAGCACTGGTCCTTTCCCACCAAAGCTGAGTGCCCTAGCCGCTCTGTTTCTAGAATCAGACTCTCTCTTGCTCTTTTTTAATCTCATGATATTTACATGCTCAGCTGTGAGACTGCCCTATTTCAACTGCCTTCTCTCAAATAACCTTCAAAAGCTTGTAGAAAGCCACATATGAGGAAGGTGGAAGTTCTGAGGGTAGAACTTGGGAGTGATCTCGCTTAGTCCTCAGCTTCATTCCTTCCCTGTGTACAAGAAAAATAAATTATGCAAGCACAGCTACTTTCAGATATGTTATACCTTAGAACATCTACAGAAGGGGCTGCAGCTGTTAATGTGATGGCTAACCCCATGGTTATAAACACAGAATTTTTTCTCCACTTCTCAATTTATGGATGTTTGGATATCCAATTATGGATATCCAATTATGGATATTCAGTCAATACTGAAAAGACCTTCCTCAGCTAAATGGATGATTGTATCTGCCACTTGCAACATTTAGCATCTGTTGGTAATATGTCATTTAAGTGATACCACCTAAAGCAAAAAAAGTGCATGCAGAAAGAATGAATGGAAATTATTTCACTATATTATCTAAGTCTCATTCATTTTCATTGTATTTAGGAATGTCTGCCTTCTCACGAGTTGGTGTCTTCTTATTTTCTGCCTCTTCTGGGGGACTTCCTTCTGAAGAAATAACTTTTTCCAAACTCCTGAAGCAGCGAGGTTATGCAACAGCTCTAATAGGTAAAATTGCGTACATAGACAGCATTATTTTTCATTCATTTCAATCAAAAGAACATTAGCTTTCCATATAGGCTATTAAGGGTCTGCATTAAGCTTTTTTCCCCAACAGCATAATGAGTTTATTTTTCTGGCACAAAGCTGAGCACATTCCCCTGCATATGTGAAACGCTAATCAGGTAAGTATGTCTAATTCAATTGTATCGTTATAGTCTCATTTTGCAAGGTACTGAAGAAACACGATGAACAAATTGAAAATTAGTCAAGCTTTTGAGAAGTTTTCAGTATTGATAGGAGTTTGGTTACAACAGAGAGACAGTGAGGGATCGATCGCAGCATACAAGTCAGCACAGTGATGGGTTTCATTTCACCAGTTTTCAAATATCCATAAAGTAGATAATGTAGTACCTGAGCTAACTGTCTGGATTTTCAGTCATTAGAAATGAGCATTTCTAGGAAATTTGTCTCATCCTGTGGTAGATGTTTAATATAAAAATGTGTTTCTCTCTCATAATAAAGGTAGTTCAGACAACTAACTGCAGCATAAATAACCAGTGATGGGTAAAGTGAATTCCACTAGATGAATATTAAACAGAATTGGAATGAGTATCATAAAGGTATAACATTTAAATAATATGATTTTTTTTTCCCCTCTAATTTGGCCTCTAACTTACTCCCCACTGCTCATGTTTTAGAAGGTTTTTGTCAAATACCACTTGTATTACATAATGTATTTCTGTACTGGAATTGCCAGGAAATAGTTGTTTAGCAAACATTATACCGGAATGTTACTACATTAATTTAGATGATGGATGCACCCAATTTGATTTTTAAATGTAACAAAATCTTGCAATTTTGGGAGTAATTTTTGTTTAAAAAATCAGGCTGTTTAGCAAGACTAAAAATTCACACCACTGTTCAAAAAATATCTGTATTATTTAGATAACCTATGTTGATGTTCCTAACTAAAAATCCTTCTTAGCTGTACCCCAGTCTTAGAAAGTATAAAATACCTTGATGTCTTGACAGATTTAAACCAGAAAACCTTAACAGAAGTACATTTGGTGCAGGTGTATTTGAACCATAAGCACAAAAAAAACATTCAGAATTTGTCATGTTCATCATGGAGTTAGTTCCTATTGCTCCATGTTCAATTAAAGACTGTAAAACAATCATTTTTCTGTTTGTAACAAGCGCTGTAATACAACTCATTTTCTGGGGCTGACCTAGTTAATGTTCTTTTTTTAACTACTTTCACTGCAACATGACAGCTTGCCACTTAGATCTCCAGAAGTTGTCTCCATGATGCTTAATGAACAATTCTTCCAAGTGGCCGGAATGATAGCTATGAGACCATAAGATGTAATATTACCATATCCTTAGAGTATAATGAAGGCTTCCAGAAATCAAGAAGTGCATTAAAATTAAGGATAAAGCATATGTAAATGACAGAAAGAAAAATTATGTAGATTTGAAGACTAGATAGGCAGACTCTGATTCCCAGCCAACCCATTTTCTGCCTCCACTGGTATTCTTATCACATCATATTGGTCTAGGTCAGGGAGTCTTTGCTTGGTTCAGTTGAACTTAGCAGTTCCCAAACAATTAATTGTCAAATCCTGCACTGGTGATGGATTGGCATAAGGGTAATTTGAAGCCTTTCAGTTCCTCAAGCCTGTACTGTCACTTCTTTTTTTTTTGCCAAGTTTCTCTCCCCTTTGCTCTCTAAGGACATTTTTTTCTTTCCTATATGCATTTTCCTTTCTTTTTAATTTTTTTTTCCCCTCCTCTGAATATATGCTTCCTCTTGCTTGATACGTCCCTAAGTATATTTTAGCTATAAATCTACTTTATGTATACACTTTTTTACCTCATTGTTTTTCCCCTGTGACACAAAGAAGGTGACATCCAATAGATCTGTCAGGAAGAGACACAGTCAGAAGATATGCAACAAAACCAGGTTTTCTCAAAAAAGGCAGATGCATTGAATATTTAATATTTCATCAGTTAAAGATCCTGGAGAGTAGCAAGAAATGTTGTTTTGTAGGAAGTAGCTATTCATAATGCAAAAATTCCACTGCAAGTAGGTGGGTATTATTTTAACTATTGCTATACTCAATTACAGTTGAGGAAAGGTCAACTTTTCTTCACTACTGTTACCCAGTGTGTTCTATGGCATCCAGAGAAGTTTAAAATCCACCTATGTAGCTTATCTCCAAAGTCTGAAATACTGATGGATAAACTGGAAGTTGTATCTTTCCTCCAGAATGAGGTGGTGTGGTATTTGGACACGTGACAGTCCAACTCAGTCTTCAGATTACTCCCTTTCCAACTGTCTGAGGGAAAAGTAGATGGGAAACATGGATTTTTGCAGCCTTTCCAGCATTCTGGGTTCTGAAAAACTGAGTTCCAAATGAAGTTTCTTGGCTGAATAGGACTTGCCTCTCATTTCCACCTGCCTTTCATTGCATTGCTTTTGCTCTGCAGAAATCTCAATTGTGGCCAAAGGAGAGGGGGAAAAAAACCCTAGATCTCAAACTATTAAGGTATTAATAATTTACAATTAACAGCATGGATTTCACTCAAAAGCTTGGTAGAATCTGCTGAAATGCATGTGATGCTTGTGTGAAGTGTCCATACTATGAAGCTTCACTTGGCAAAGAGGTGAGAGCATTTTGCACCGCTGTCAGATTCAGAAGAGCCCCAGAGTGTAAAGCACATTGCAATAATGTGTTGAAATGCTAGCTCAAGGCAGGGGTTATTGTCACAAGGAGTGAAACAAAACATGTGTTGTAGACCCAGTCATCACTTGCTCTTTCAGAGTAGCACAGGATCTATCAAAACCCTCTACCTCATCAGCCATTTGAGGGTGGCAATTGTGTCTTTCCATCACAGCTGCAGATACAATTTGAACCAGTGCTTCTGTTGCTTTTCCCAGCTAACCTGCTGTTTGCTTTGTTTGGCTTAAGTTGCTTCTGAACAAATCTTTTTTTCAAGGCCCAAGTTCATCTTGACATTGAACAATTTGTTGTGCTTTCTAAAACCCTTTCGATAAAAATAGGTCCTATATTTTCCCCTGTCCTAATTTGCTGTTGCAAGATTCTTCTGTCCTGGCTTGCAATGTCTAGTTATATTGAGATCCGGTTTAAACAAGCTTCTTTATATCATAGTAAATTACCTTGAAGGTATACTTAATTTGTTTGTGTTTCTTTTTCTTTTTTTTTTTTTTTTTCTGAATTATAGGTACTTTGAGATTGACAAATAACAGCAAAAAAATAAAAATTAAAGCTTTAAGATAATTTATATTCATGATTATAAGCTTCTACCTTTATTTCAGTTATCTAACTTGATGAGAGTTTTTTCATGGTCACCTTGCTACACATCTGGCTTTACGATATTCCATAAAAACAATTCTGTAAACCTAAGAGAAAACATTGAAGCATTTATTTCCCAAAATCTGTATCTTTGCTTGCTGGGAATCAAATTCAGAGTTGCAGTCTTAGCTAGCCATTTATGGCAGCATTATAAAATCTAAAAATTCAGTACAGTGGTCTACTTTGCTGTTTTTGTAATCAGCCACAATAATGTTCACTGGACCATGTCAAAAGTACTGATGAGAGCCATTCGTCCCGCAGAAAGCAGAGTACTGCCTCAGGTGAGGGGCCATCTGACAGTAAGTGGGAAAACTTCTGATGGGATGAGAAAGCTGTAGAGGCCTCCATTTCACTGGCACATAAGCAGACCTGAAAATGTTTTTATACCTGCTTCTATGATATACAGAAGGTATTTCTAACCTAAGACCATCAAGAGATATACGAGGAGAACTGGACTCAACTAAGCGTTCAGTTAGACTCAAGATTTCTATGGTATTTTTCTCCACCTTTGCTGACAGGTGGACTTAGGCACATGGCATTCTCATCCCATACCTTAGTTCTGTCATTTGTGAAAGAGAAATAATGACATTGAGCCCATTTACTAGGTACTATTTCAAAAAATCAGAACTGATCCTCATCTTCACCTCTGTGGTACTGCAGTACCCACATTTGTCATTGCCAAAGGCAGAATTGTAGGACGCATATACTGCTCCCTAGACCCAGGAAATGCTCAGGACTGCCTGCATCAGGGCTCTTTCTTACAGATGTGTAAAGGCTGGGATGGTTCAGGAAAGAGGAAAATTCTGTATCTGCTTTTTTCCTTTTATATGCTTTCTACCATGTGTATTCTGAAGTCTGTGGAACAAAATATTTCAGATTTCTTTGGGCTAGATTATGGGGTTGAGGACATACTGGATTTGTGTGGATTTTTTGTTTATTTCTTTTAAGATCACAGCTCCTGAATTATGCTGGTCATGTTTAGGTATTTGATTCAGAAAAAATAAATAAAACTTGGTGCAACAATATACAGCCATCTGTTTGGTCAAGGGAAACAAGTTTTGTCAAATATTCAACACATTTTCTTGCTGAGACCAAAGAGCATATCTCTAGCCATAATTTATGTCAATAGGCTCAACTGAATTTTTTTTTTAATTATGCCTTTGAATTTAAATAACAGCTACCAAACAGTAAAGTCAGTTGCACTAAGCAATGCATAAGCATATGGTAAGGGGTTGTACCTGAGTCAAGAACGAATTATCTAGATACTTACTGTAATCAGCACGAACATAGATTATACTACTATGATGCAAATAAGACTCACTCTTTTCTTGTGTCAGTATCCAACATTATTGCAGAATTAGAATGATTTCCTAGTGAGACAAAATGCTGTGATAGTATTTGTCAGTAATTTGTTACTGTTTTTTCTTTTTTTACTTATATATATATAAAAAATATGTAGCTAAATAAAAAATAATATCCCTTATTCTCTCTATGTATGTTTATAGTGAGGGAGATCGGTAATTTCAGAGATTTTGTAATCATTTAAATAGTAAATGCCTTGGTAATTTCACTATTTTTGATTTATTTCCTGTTTGTTACTGATTTGTTCTTTTTTTTTAAAAAAAAACAACTAGTCAAATGTGGATGATTTGCCAGAAAAATTTCAGAAGAGATATTTCGTAACTCTATATTGACTCTTCCTAAGAAAACAGTAGCTGCTACAAAATGGTATTTTCTTATGACTACTTAACTACACAGGCACAAAGTCTTCATTTTCAAAGTTAACTACCTGTTAGTGCTCTGTTGCTCTTCAGTGACCTGCAAGCCCACTCAGAATTTAATGGTCTCCATCAGGAGCTGTGCCAAACTATTCCTAACTAAAACAAAGAGGCAGACATAAAACAAAGTCTTTGATGAAGGCATAGAGTAAGATTAGATCAAAAATAGGGATCCACACAATAAATGCTGGAGGCGGGGGCATATCAGTCAGATAGTGACAGTTTCATGTTTGGAATAGCGCACATTATAAGTCTTATGATTTAACTTCAAAAATACTCCTTGTCCTTCTCTCTTTGTAGGAAAGTGGCATCTTGGGATGAACTGTGAAAGCATTAATGACTTCTGTCACCACCCTCTCAGTCATGGATTTGATTACTTTTATGGGCTTACCGTGACCAATTTTAGAGACTGCCAGCCTGGCCAAGGCAGCGTATTTTTAAAAGGAGTTCAGAAATCCCTTGTCGTCCCAGTCCAAATCGCTGGAATCACCCTGATCTCTTTGGCAATAGTGCAGTACATTGGCCTCTTCAAAGTACCTGTCCAAGCATTGGGTTACTGCTTGTTGATAACTGCTATTTCACTTGCGGTTTTGATTTTTTTCTTTTATCACTTTCGACACTTGAACTGCTTCTTAATGAGGGACCATCAGATTATCCAACAACCGCTATCCTATGAGAACCTTACTCAGAGACTGACAAAGGAAGCTGTGCAGTTTATAGGAAGGTAGGTTTCTAACTGTGTTATAAGTTAATGCTGGCATTTTATAATGACGATACTTCTGAAAAAGTAGAAAAAAAATGTGAACTGGTGGACATGAGGAATATGTTGTTATATATTACCATCACTTTTTTCCTTTAAAAGATGACTGAAGTTAATCTTTTTAGTGAAAGTGACTGTTTTTTCTATTGGATATCTCATTATTTTCTCTATAAAAATTAAAACTATTTATGTTTACATGCTTCAGAAAAAATTTTCAAAAAACATCTAACTTTTTAGGACTTTCATTCTTTATTTCCTGTAACTTGAAATATGAAAAATGTTTTGTGGTGTGACTTAATTATGTGAAAGCACAATGCAGAGTCATAATCCATGACTCTTCTGGAGTGGGAAACTGTTCTTCATCATTGATTTGGTGCATCCATTAAATGACAATCATAAGGCCAATTTTTTAAGATACTGTCATTTTAGATGCCTCCACTTTTATGCCAGATTTATCTTGAAAAGATTTGATTTAGAGAAGGTAGGAAATAAATATTTTTTTGAAAGCAATGATTTTTTTAATAGCCATCACATTGAGTCACCTAAACATTGGATATATAAAATCATCCTAAGTCATTCTTAATTTTTGCAAAGTTAGTTACTTTGGTGTAATTGTCATCACAGGGCCTTTAATGGGAACAAATTTTAAAAGTGTACATTTGTGTATTCTGAAATATAAATCAATATATTTGGAGCAAAAATATTTAATATTTAATATCCATTTAACTTCTTGAAAAATATGCCAACACATTTTTCTTGGTGACATTTGAAACGAGTTGCACTATTTCTAAAAATAGTTAATCAAAAGTAAAAACATGTTCTAAGACATAACAAGTCCCTTAATTACTATTCTAAAAAGTATGTTCCAGGTAGTTAATGTGAATACATTCACATGGTTTTATTGCTGAATGAAAACTTACACCAAAGAATCTGAGGCTAAATTTTCTAAACTTAATGAGACTGCATGCACTAGTCAAGACTGTTAGCAAGAAAAAATGTTTATCTAAAATCTTAATCTCATACTACAGTTTTTCTATCCTTTCTATCATCGTAAATGTTTGATGTGGCCATCTCTACTCATGATACCACAATAAAATAGTTTTTATATCAAATGTCTTTAAATTACTAAGTCTTCCCAGCAGTCAACATTCTCATGAGTATTTACAAATAAACTTAAACAGCTTCATTTCCTCTTGGCAATGGTGACAGAAAGATCCCTTCTCATCTACATTCTAACTAGTAAACAAAGCGAAGTACTTTGTTTACTACAAGCATATACACCTGTACCCCCCTTCGAAAATTGTTGAGAGGTTATTTGCTTAGTGACCAAGCATTTGGTGATTTTAAAAGACTCTTGAGTACATTAACTGTATGTTGGCGGATTCTTCCATGATTTACAAGCATGTAATGCGCCTGTAGGGATTTGTAATGTTTTGGGTGTCTCTGAATGTTTCATTGATTTCAATGCAGTGACAATAAAATGGTAGCCCCAAAACAGGTGAGTTCAAGATTGGAAATCAATGCTAGAAAACTAGTAACTATTTTAACTTTATGAATATTCATAATGTGCACAATGTTATTGTATAGTTTAGTCGGTGTTTAGAGCTGGCAAAACACTGTATCATCTAAGTCAGCATAGCTTTGTTGACTGAGCTGGAGATAAGTAGCTTTATATCAGCTGGGCACTTGGCCCCATTTCTCAATGTAGTTTCCAGACAAAAGTGATATTAAACTGAAGTCAAGGTTAATAGTACATATATATAATTTACAATAAACTTTGTTACAGGAATGCTGCAATTATAGTGAGAATTATAACCCAGACAATTCAGAGTCAATGTTAAATTAAAGAATATCCAAGCACATTAAGGTATTGAGAAGCAATTAAGGCATTCGAGCAATCTTAACTGTGCCCTGTAGTGAATTCACATGCAAAGTATATGACCATAAATCTTGCTTCTGGGGATAGGAGTAATTAGATTAATATTCACTGAACTGATCTGTCCCATATATTAGCGTGAGCAACAAAATCAATATTTGCTCTGACACATTGGTTCTGACGTTATATAGTTCACACTTGTCAACTCCAGTGCACCAGTAGACGATTGGTTTTATGGCTAGTCTACTGACTTTGGCCATTTGTAAGAGAATGACCAGGTTGCAACCAGGTTGCAGCAGCAGTCAGATATCTGGCACTCATAAGTGAAGGGCCGCTGGGTTTTTGGAAGCCACGGTTGCCCCAGTGCTTTCTTGTCATTCCATTTCTTTCAGTGAGCAGTCTCCCTCAACCCTCCTTTAGCCACATGTTTGACTCAACACTTGATTTGTCATACAGGCTTCTTTTGTTTAGATAATACAATAAGTAGCAAGCTCAGTCCTGTACACCAGTAATCTTTGTACACAAGTATATCAGAGTTCAAACAATCCTGAATTTAAAGAATTCGGAGTCATTTGCCTTAACTGGTTCTTAACATACATTTTATCATAAAACTGAAAATCACCAGCTGTCATGCATGTTTTAATTGGTTAATTGTCTTTACAATAAATATATGATGAAGCTCCAATCTTCAACAGCAATTGTACTTCCTATATAGCCCTTTTATGCTATATTTATATATAATGTATATGAATATATAGTTACATAAAAATTTCAACATAAATCTATGTACGTTTATTATACCTATTACCTATATTACCTTTATAAGTTCTTCAGAGTTCAGGCCATGGACTTCCTGACGTTATTCTCTTTTCTAGCTATTTCTTAGTCATATTGTCAGCTTTATGACTTGTTACCATGTATATAGTCATTAGATTTTGTATTTTTCAAGTTTTTCTATAATTTCTTCATAGCATATAGTTATGTGCTGTTATACTTACCTTGGTCTGTTTTTTGGAGAGGTGGTATTGTATTTGTTCTTCGTTAGTCTAGTACATGTGTCTTACTGTTTTCATTTGTTCCTAGGTAGACTGAAAGAGAGCAAATACAAAATTCAATGCTCAGAAATGGTACTGGAGAAGAATATGTACAATTACAAGTGTCAGATCTAGTGTGTGAAAACAAATACTAATTTAGTTTCTCATCCTAATTGTAAGTGGGCAGGTCAGATCAGTGTTTGTTAATTCTAATTACCTTTTCCCAAGAGCAACTGTGTGTACATGTTGTGAACCTGTCAGAACACTCTGTAGACATTACGATATATTTGAAAGTCAAATGGATGTTAATTATTTCATGTTAGGTTCAGTGTGGTTGTCACTTGTACGTCTTCAACACGTCCTTTAATGACCAGCTGCACAGGCAATCCAAATTTGGAAAATGCCACAGACTAGTTTCTAACGTATCAGAAATTAACAACACAAAAGTACCACTCTATGATACAGAATACCTCTTTGACAAATTCGTATAACTGATCACAATTAATAAGAATATTTAAAAAAAAATTCCTAATGAAATCTAACTTCTGGAAAATAGTATTATGTTCCTTTTGAACAAAAAGCTAACAGGAAGAAGCTGTGAATTCATATACTTTAGGGCTATCTGAAAAGGAAAGATTTAAGTCATTTAAGAATGATCAAGGACCTAACTAGTTCTGCGATGAGTGACAGACTGCATTGTAAATGAAACACTTCTAAAAAGCAGTAGATCTGTATACTGGGCTCCAAAGTTTTGCAAGGGAGAGGGATTTAGTAATGAGTATAATTTGTAGTAGATGAGAAATTTTTTCCCCCATGCTTATGAGAATGTACTTTTTGAAGGGGAGAACAAAGGTTACATGGAAAGGAAATAAAAAATATGAATTGCATACCTTAAGTGTTTAAAGGAAGAAATAGGCATGAAATTAGACATGTCAAATGTATCTTGTCTATTTGCATGGAAGAATCATTTCACAAATGCAGATATAGTAGTAACACATCCTACTTTTAATATCTTCTAGAAAGAGTCAGATTTTCCATATTTTTACATTTTTTTTTTTCTTTCTTATTCAATTTTCAACATCTTTTCTGTTTTTGATAAGTTAACCCCAAGTGGTCTGGTGTTCTCTTTTCTGATTTTGAAAACCTTTGAAAATATGAGATCAGTGTTTCAAGGTGTGTCTTTTAAAGAGTAAGACAGAAATATTCATTCATGGATTCATTCGTGCTAACACGGATTTTAGCCCTGTTAGTGGTCAGAACAAAACAAAATCCAGCTTGTAGGACAAAGTCCTGCTTTGATTCAACTAAGCCAAGGTTTACCTTTTCATTTCATTAAGCCAAGAAGGCTTAATGAAGTGCATTCAGCCAGTCCCATCACAACAACTACTGTGTAATTGGTGATCTAATCTGAAAGTAGAAGAGGGAGCCATGGGGAATAAGCATTGAATGAATTTATCCACTGGGGGGGATATTGAATAAAAAGAATGTTTTTAGTGAAAGGAGAGTTACAGGAAAGGAAAAGTTATGTTTGCATCTGCCTGTGCCAACACACTGTTACGTATTTGTGCTGAAAATTATGTACTTCAGCATTTTTGTTTTCTTTCATCTTAACTGTGACTCTGGTGTACTGTGGCTATATAAAAATGACATATTGATGCACATTCAATAAGTCTTATTAAATCACAGGTGTGAAATCATAGAATCATAGAATCATTATGGGTGGAAGAGACCTCAAAGATCATCAAGTCCAACTGTATACCCGATGCCACCATGCACCCTAAACCCACTAAACCATGTCTTGAACCGCCACATCTAAACGTTTTTTGGACACCTCCAGGGATGGTGACTCCACCACCTCCCTGGGGAGCCCGTTCTATATATTATATAATCATATCTATTTCAAATAGTTCTTTGCAGGCTATTTCAGTCTTATGGGTGAATTAAATGGAATTTATAAGACTTTGGGGATTACAGAAACAATTGTTAACCCAATTTTAACACAGCACAGTGTTCGTCCTGCTCAGGCAAAGCCAAGTATGTCTGCTTTTATAGTCAGCTGCTGTGAATCATAGTATCTTCACTGGTATCGGGGCGGGGGCGGAGTGTGTGTGTAGTGGTCTAACAGGTTAAAAATATGTACTTTATGACAGAATGTGCAGACAATTTCACATCTAGCAAAAAAAAAAAAAGTTGTTCAAAAACATCGTACTTGTACATCATATTAAAGGTTAATTTAGAATTTCTTGTGAAAAAGTAAAATGGATCCCTGTCATGGCATGTTCCCATCTAGTTGACAGTACAGAATGATACTTGAAATCTCAGTTTAATTTGAGAAGTGCAGGCCAACAAATTCAGAGTCCCACCTGTGCTCTGCTGCAGTGGTCTTAGATCAACATGAACGCATAGAAAAGCAAACAAAATTACCCAAGGAGTTTTCAATGCAGCAAGCATTTAGAGCAAAATTGCAGGAAAAAAGTTAAAAGACCATGTGTGAAGCGCAAAGTCTGATTAGTTGTAACTTGCTCTCTCACCCACTTTAAAGCTGTGTTTTACTGCTTAAGCCTGAACTGAATCCTTGAGTAACGTAAAAACTCCTCACATGAAAAAAGAAGAACCGAGTACTGTGCAATGCAGAGGAGTCATCAGCAAGGTGATGCTTTTAGATGTTTTCAAGATCAGTTAAACACACGTTAAAGAATATCTTATGTCAGATATGTGTAATCTCTCTAGCTACTCAGTAAATTGAAAAGACTGTGTGATTCATGTTGGGATAAAAAAATTTACTATATTTGAGTAAGTGAATCTCACATCTTTTGAAACTGAAGTTCTGTATGTTTGAACTGTGTAAAAGATAGTGGCAATACATTTTTGAAGGAGCTGTTTACTGAAGTGATTCAGGAGTTAAGCTGTTATTGTCAAATTTCTGTCCTGCCTACTAGCTGATATTTTCATTCCATTTTCAAGGTCACAGTAAAGGTAGTCAGTTATGATTCTCTTCAAAGAGTTTTGGCAGGAGATAAATAGCTGCCTGTGATCTTTTATAGGACGTTAATAGGTGAGACACTTCTCCACCTGACAGCAAACTGTCAATCAGAACCTGTCAATTTGAGTTGCAAAGAAGAGAATGATGTAGTGCCCTTCCATATCCATCATTGATTCGATGACTCTTCATGAAAGTTAGATCTTTGTTTTGTTTTTTTTAAATGGAACTGACACAAAAAGACCCTGAGTTGTTATCTCTCGAAAACAGCGTTTATTGTGGAGGCTTTTGATACTTACTTTCAGCAACACAGGTATACATTTAGAAGTATGTACTCTCTCTGTGACATTAGAATGAGGCAGTTTGCATGAAAAGTAAATTGTACCTACACCATTATAAGTATAAGTAAATTTTGCGGTGTTTTACCCTAGAATTTTTATATTACTCTCAATTCAGTGGAATGTGTTTGAGGAAAAAGTCAAAGGTAATCCCATGCAGGAAAAAATGCAAGTTGCAAAACAAAAATCATCTGCCTTGCAGAAATGTACTTTAATGAAAGGTCAGTGTTACATTAATATACATATTAAATATTAAACTTATAACTAGACATCTTTTTTACTTGAAGCACTGATATTTTCTGGTTTTTAATTGACTCAGAAGTCTTGTGTTATTTGTTGCTACAGTAATGAAAGGTTGTCACATGTGTGACCTCTCAAATAGCAACAAAGACAACTTTGTGGAAAGTGTATCTTTTATGAAAAATACTGTCTTTTCTTTTTTTGAATCTGTACTTTATAATACTAGGATAATACAGGATACATACAGGGAATTCAAATAATTTTGTTTCCATTTTCCACATGAAAAATATTCTATTTATTCTGTCATTTTTTGAAAAAAGAGGAACTTTTTATGAAGAAAAAGTCCCGGTCAGAAACACATTTATCAAGTGAGTAATCTGGATAAAAGTTTCCCATTTTGTGTTTATGTACTGCTGCATATGCCAGTAAAAAAGAAAGCTTTAACCATGCAACTTGTATAAAAACAAATCTAATCAAGGAGAGAGGAAAAATGGATCATAAATATACTAGATTAAACCTAGTTATCTTTCCTTAAGCGTATACTACTTTCCTTAAGAATAACTTATTGATGTCAGATGAATCCATTTTATTAAAAGACCTTTTCAGGTTCTAAAGGTTAGAATTTATTTTTTTTTTCATTTTAAAGAAACAGTTTGTATGTGCATGTCTGTATTGTTCCTCCTCTCTTTGAAGGGTGGATGAATCAACTGCATGAGGAAATATATAGTCTCCCTTTGATGTTGATGTGAATCACAGGTATTACCCGCCACAGATTGCTGAGGGAAAATATGGTAAATAAACCCCAAAATACTCTGTAATTAGCTGTATGCTTTAGGGTAAGATCCAGACAAGTTTTCTGGGTAGTGCTTTTGTGATTCAACTGATATTTACAATATGCATAATGTAATACAAATGCTGTTAAAGCAGTATAGCTCTTACTGTATAGAAGTAAATTTGGCTAGTAGTGAACGATTTAAGTAAAGTTCTATAAATAATGCATAAGGAAAAGTTCTTACTTGAGCTGTGCTTTTACAGCCTACTGGAACTGATTGTAAGTATCGTGTTGACAGATCACATGAACAGCAAAATTTACGGAGTTTATTTGTTGCAGTCTTTCTTTTGTATCAACTCAAATGGAGACTCTTTTTTACTGTGAGAAGAAAAATCTTTATATTAATGTGTACTTGGAGGTTACTTACTCTTTGGTACAACATACTTGTAGTCTTATGTACTTACACACACACAGAGCATTAAATGACAAGAGATTTGGCCATATACCTTAGTCCAAGATAAAGAAGGAGGAAAAGTACTAGTATACTTGATTTAATGTAGTTAATGATATTATGGTATGTTTGACCCTGGTCCTCATAATAGTGTAGTTGATCAGCTTCCATATGACCTTGTGAGGTAGGTAGTTGTATTTCACGTATATATGTAGTTCTCAAGGTGTGTTTTTGAACAGCAAACATATTCAGACTTTTAAATACATACTTGTAAAATGAAGAGAGGTGGTTGTAGCCAGAAACTGCTAGGTTCTTGGCTTTAAACAAGCCCTCTTTCTATATATATAGGAAACAAGAATTAGTTAGATTTTGTCATTTATTTTTGCTTTCAATTCAGTATACAGTTAAGAATGGCATTTTTACTCTGTGTATATGTGTGTGTGTTTTCAGGATTACCCTGTAATCAGTTACAGTATTCCTTTTCCTGCTCTTTGTTTTTGTTTTGAGCCCTACTGTAGAAAGATTTCTTGTAGAAATTTTGTTATTAAGTATACTAAGGTTTTGGATTTTTGTTTTATTTTGTTTTTTTCCAGGAACACTAATGCACCATTTCTTCTTGTCCTGTCTTATCTTCATGTCCATACTGCTCTATATGCTTCAAAAAATTTCAGAGGAAAGAGCAAGCATGGTTTATATGGGGATGCAGTGGAGGAAATGGACTGGAGTGTAGGTATGTTACATGTGCTTCTAACAGCAATGGGGGGAATTCATGGAAGACTTACATTCATGTCCGTCAAATGCAGACTTCTGCAATTTGGATGTCTACAGTATATCTGACATACTTGTCCTTTATACTTAGGAGAAACAAACAGCCATTTAAAAGGCACAATAATCTGACCTCTTGTATATCTACTTTATGACCAAATTTATTGTGTCCTACGAATGCCTACTCCCTTCTTTGACTATGAAGGTAGTCTGTACATTATGCACTTAGCAGATACGGACACCGTAACTGTGGACATTTGAAGTAGAGCAGTTAAATCCAAACCCCTGAGCTTCTGGGTGCCATCTGACCTCTGCAAGTTGTCCTCATGAAACAATGTACTAATTCAAAAAGTGACCATATGATATTGATAGAAAAATATTTTCAAATGAAGTTACTACAATATGCACTGTTGGCAAAAGTAATTTGCTAATTATTTTAGTGAGTTCTCTAAATTGGTGAATTCACTCAAGTGCAGTCCACTTCTGTTCATGAAGAATAGTCAAAAACAAACAACTTGCCCTTCAGAGCCTTCCATTCTCTCTGAGGGTGGAGAGCAGTTGATCATTACATCTTTCAACAGGTTTCCCATATCTCTAGATGTAGTGGACTGACTCTCTGTTTCCGGACATAATCACCTGTAAAAAAACTAACAGTTCATATCTGAAAATAACTGTATTGGAGAACAGCAGTATTAGGATCTTATGATGAGCTTATGTTTCTCCTTCCTGTATACCCCAAGTCAATTCTGTTCTCAGTACAACTCAGTGCAAATTGACTTTCTTGGAGAATATGTTGCTTCCTTATTAAGTTGCTATAAACAGATATTCAGCTTTGGGGCATACATATTTTTAAGCTCTGCAGGCATGTGCACTTAAACATCATGTATATTTCTTTGCATATTTTCCATCAAAAAGTCTAGTTGCCGAAGCTACAGGGACAAAAGGCAGCACAGCAGATTAGTTATTTGTAATGTATTTAGTGTGGTATTTGCAAAAATGGGGAAAACCCTTGTGGGGAACTGTGATACACTTAGGAAGGGTTTTCAATATGGGAGACGAGAAAAAAAAACTCTTTTGTAAATCAGATTTTGTAAAGAGAAAGTGGCTTTCATTCCAGTTGTATTACACCGAATCTTTATCGCTTGTCAGTGGCCACCAGCGTTTGGTCACTCAAGTGCTTGCATTAGGTAAAAGTATGCATGTGTTGTCATTTCTGTTTGCATCCACATTGTAGTAAGCTACTAAGCATTATCTGGTCTTACTGTCTGTGTTTGATTTTACTGTTTCTTCTTCTGTTCCATGATATTTAGCTTATTCAGCCTAATTGGTCATTTGCTATTGTCATTACATTTTGCTGCCTCCTTCAGGAGAGTGGCTCCGGGGTTTAAACAGCAAGTTAGAAACCAAGGCAGCTGACATGCTACTGTTTCAGGCTATTTAATGATGCAGAGGTGGTAACAGATTGGAAACCACTGCTTTCTTCCAGAATGACCACAGGCTCTTAGGAGATGTATCAAACAAACAAAACTGTAGGACAGAAGCATATTGTTAAAAAAGTTTGGGATAAGTCAGAGATACAAATTTGGTGGTGATGAACAAACTCAGAAGAGATACATGAGTTTCCTCATGTATTGTCCTCTATAATTCATTACAGGAGCATCAGGAGCAGTGAAGCTAGCTTAATCAGGAAACAGATCCTCATCTGTCATTTACAGGTATACAAGAACCAAAATGTGTTTCAGGTGGGGTTTTGGTTACTTGGTTTTGCTTGTCTTGTACGACTCCTGTTGACAGATGGCCTAATTACTCCAGGAGGTAGAAAATGTGTTTAGTTCCTCTGTTACTTTCTCCTCCATTACTAGAATGATGAAAAAAAGTTATGGCTGGCATTTCCAAAGGAGTCTGAAGGAATAATACAGCTTTTTTATTTTTTTTATTTTTTTTTTTTTTCAGTTGAAGGGAGTACTAGTTTCCATTAACCTCCACTGAAAATTCCAGTCTTAATGCATCACCTATATCAGGCAAAGTAGATTTATTAACTGTACTGCTGATATCAGTAACCAGTATTTTTTTGGAATGCCTCTGAAGATGTTACAGTAGAAAAGTCAAACAAAATTATCTGGAAAAGCTGAAAATGTGAAAACAGTTTAAGCTTTCCACAAAGGGTTGGTTTTATCATTCACTGGACAGATATTAGTGTTTATGCGTAGATGAATGTAACTTGCAAAAGCAATAATACAAAATAGCCCAGATATAACAATATGCTGCAAAACCTTCTAATTAAAGACAACACAAGCATGGGAAGAAAAAATGAGTGTATGGAAAACTGCATTATAGTACAGCATCAGAAATGTTTAGCATCTGGTAGGAAAAGAAGCACCAAGTATAACTTAGTTCTAAAAAAATTACAATGTGTTATCTGCTGACTGGGAAATGTGGAAAACCCTTGTGGATGACTGGGGAAAAAGAAAAAGGTAGAAGAGAAGTTACAAGTAGAAGTAGAAGTTAGGACTGTCAGGTACCAGTGATGAAAAAGTTATATCAAAATTGGACCATGAAATGCAAATGAAATATTGTTCCTGATTTGAGAGATCAGCTGGAATCAGAAAGAAGACTTTAGCTGCCATTTACAAGAGAAAAAACAATAGCCTTTCTAGTAAGACAGAGAAGTCCACTCAGACTGAGCATTCTAAATACAAGACAATTCCATTTTCATTTGTTTATTTAATGAGGATCAATTACCTAATTGGACAATAATTCAATTATAAGGCAATCTCCATGCTAGAAGGAGAAAAACCTATAAGACACATGAATAAAATACTCCTTTGAATATTTCATGTTTGTGACTTGTTAAACCAATACGGAAGAGTATGATTACAGTCCATGTCAAAAATACGAAATACAAAGTGTCTGGATAAGCCTTGGGACCATGGGTGTCTACTGCTTTTGCATACTGATGTGTGTATAACAGAATTCAATGTTTAAAGCATTCACAGTTACAATGTCACTGCATGTGACATGTCTTAGAGAGTTATTCTCTGGCTAATAACATTAATTTTCTTTCAATGTAGGCTAAGCCCCTTATTAATGCTGTTAATTATAATTCATATAAGAGCAGATGAAATAATCTTACAGTCTAAAAATGGAAAAAGAAATGATGAATGAATGAACGCAATGTTATCCATTTCTTCCTTCCTCCCTTCTTCCCTTGCTTCATTCCTTCATTCCTGATTGAGTATAGGAAGAGAAATGGATGTGTTCAGAAACTGTTTTTGATGTAAATTGCATTACACTAATTTAATCCAAAACAGATCACTGCAAAGAGTTTTGGAGCCCCCTGTAGACTTGCATGCAAGCTGTGTGAAGACACACTAATTCAACACCACTTTGGCAAATGGCTGATTATTATAGCAAAAGTACATATCAGTTCTTAATCCTTTGTGGAGCAATCACAACTGAATGTCTTAAGTGTAAAAAAGTCTCAGAAATTGTAGTCTGGCACAAGCTAGGTAACTGTAGAGTGGGGGGCCTTTCTGGATATCTTTATTATGAGAAAGCCCTGCAAGCTGAAAAAAACTTTACTGCCTCTCTGCCAAGACCTTTTGACCTGTCTTAGGATCAAGTTATACCAAGAAAAGATTACCATCGTCTGATGTTAGTAAATTAGAAGAAAAGGAGTGGCAATAAATCCCGATGTATTTTACATGTAACGTGTTTGAAATATCTTAAAAGGTTTGGTAGAATTGTATAGGAAGAGAGTAGCTCCGTATTTCCCCAGTACAAGAGGGATATGGAGCTACTGAACAGTGTCAGGCAAAGGGTCATGAAGTCAATTAAGAGACTGGAGTACCTCTCCTATGAGGAAAGGCTGATACAGCTGGCACTAGAATTCTGTTCAGCCTGGAGAAGAGAAGACTGAGGGAGGATCTCATTAATGTATATAAATACCTGAAGGAAGGGTAGAAAGAGGGTGAGGTCAGTCTCTTTCCATTGGTTCCCAGTGACAAGAAGCAATAGGCACAAACTGAAACACAGGACGTTCCCTCTGAACATAAGGAAACACTTTTTTACTCTGAGAGTGACCAGGCACTGGGACAGGTTGCCCAGAGAGGTGGTGGAGTCTCTGTTCTTGGAGATACTCAAAAGCCATCTGGTCATGGTCCTGGGCTCCAAGTGGCCCTGCTTGTGCAGGGGGGTTGGACAAGGTGACCTCCAGATGTCCCTTCCAACCTAAACCATTCTGTGATCCTGTAAGATGCTGAAGAAAAGAAAAAAGCTATTCACTAAAGTCAATTCATCTTTTGAAACAAAATCAGACATAACCTTTAAAAGTCAGTCTAGAGGAACCAAGGAACTCTTCAGTGAAGCAAACAGAAGCAAGATACTCTCATGATAGTCTCCTCCTCTATTCCTCTCTTGTGAGACCCCCCTGCAGTACTGCATCCAGTTCTGGGTTCCCCAGCACAAGAAAGGCATGGACCTGTTGGAGCGAGTCCAGAGGAGGCCAGAAAAATGATCGGGGGATGGAACAATTCTCTTCTGAAGACAAGCTAGGAGAGTTGGCGTTGTTCAGGCCGGGGAAGAGAAGGCTATGGGGAGACCTTATTGCTGCCTTTCAATATATAAAGGGGGCTTATAAGAAAGACAGAGAGACACTTGTTATCCAGGCCTGTATTGACAGGAGAAGGGGCAACAGTTCTAAACTGAAAGAGCGTAGATTTAGATTAGATATTAGGAAGAAATCATTTATGATGAGGGTGGTGAGACACTGGACCAGATTGCCCAGAGAAGTTGTGGATGCCCCATCATTGGCAGTGTTCAAGGTCAGGTTGGATGAGATTTTGAGGAACCTGACCTAGTGACAGATGTCCCTTCCCATGGCAGGGTGGTTGAACTAGACCATCTTTGAAGGCCCCTTCCAACCCAAATTGTTCTGTGATTCTGTGTTAGTACAGTGATGACAAATTTTGAGGATG